CAAAGCTCGCGAATCAATTGAGGATGAGGTCTTCACGGATAGCCTTTATGAAGACTTGCCGCCTGTGGAAGATTGGTTGCTTCAAAGTCCTCATGGTGAGTTGGATGGGGAATAGTGTCTTAACCAGGGATCGAACCCGGGTCCTTTCTCAGTGAAGTTGCGGTATAAGGCACAGAAGGAGATGCACAGTAATCAGTTCGCCAAGGCAGTCGAGACCTATCGCGAAAGCCTGGCAGCTGCGGATGATGGCACTGGGAGGATCCATTGGAAACTACTGTACGATTGTAGGTAGTGAACACTGGGGAGGTTAAATTCATGACGTGGCAATGTCAACCATGTGCTGGTGAAATTAGAAAAATTCTGAGAGAAAAATTCCGTACTATTCGACCGTATGTTTTATAAGTAGTGAGGAAACTCCTGAGCTAGGGTGAAGACAGCGAAGATATATTCCTACTCCAACACCAACGGCAGGTACCAGATGATCCTATGCTTGTTGGAACTGCAACGATATGATGATTGTGTGGAGGAGGCCAGGACCAACGTGGAGCTGTGTCTGGCCAACATTCAGGCAGAGGAGGGGGAGAATGCTGACCATCGGAGGCTGAGCGAGGTAGGGCGAGGGGTAGGAGTCGGGTTGTTGAGCATTGTGGCAGGCTCGATCGATGCTGGGGGACTTCCTACTACTTTCGGGAAGGGTGGAGGAAGCTCAGATGGTGTTGAAGTTGGTGGTCGGCGCTGGCACGTCGGGCGTGCTCCCCAAGTTGTCGTATATCGTCAGCCTATGTGGCGGCTTGGAAAGTCCTCAGCCGATCGAGGTGAGTTGGTTCATCCAAGAGTGGATATTGGAGTGGTATCTGCTTCAGACGTGTCCTCTTGCATTGAGGGAAATGCAGGGGGTAGTGAGAGAACCCAACGAGAGATTGGACCGGGTCGTGAGCCAAGCTAAGACTGGAAATGTGGAGAAGTTCTCCTCGGCGCTGCGGGTGTTCCTGTTTGATCTCGGCGAGGATTTGCCACTACCGAGAGTGCAGGAGGCCTTATTCCGACTGCTCGGTTCCCAAGCAGGTGAGCGTGGCTGGGGAGCTGCGGCTAAGGTAAGTCTATATGGTTAACCTTTCGAACGACTGTTTGCCGAACTGTGTCACCTTTCAGTTGATCTGTCAAAGTCTCCTCTCCTACGAGGTGTATGGGCAACCAGTCTCCGAGCATTTTCGGCCTCAGCTGAAAGCCCTGCTCGGCCGACTCGACGGCTTGGGGCAGCCGCTCAGGAGCTTCCAAGAATTCAAAAGCATCGTCCAAGTAAGCCCATCTCAGAATTGAGGCTACGAAAATATAAAATTCATTTTGAATTTCCGCCGGGAAGTTTCCGGTGGTCGGACATTTGTTTTTTATCTGAAGAATTTGAAATTTCGTTTTTCCGAATTCACGAGGTGTTTACGGATTTGAACCTTCATTTCCGAGCGGCCACGAAAATCGAACTTTCATTCTACCGAAAACAAATTCCATTTTCCGAATGTTTTTTCATCTGAACTGTGTAGTTTTGAATCATCTTTTTATGCTGGGCAACAGCAGCAGTGGGCGTCGTTGACTCTTCGGATGATGTGTTTCAGGAGATCCTAGATGGCCCTTGTGATCTGCAGCAGCATTATCCGGGAATATATGCTTTTTGTACCAAGTTGTGCAAGGGGGAGTTCGACAAGCTTTGCCGAGCCGTCGAAGTGTCGACCTTGTGACGATTCTAATCCCTAGTGCTATGTGTTTCTTATCCGAATGAACGGACCTTTCTGCGTTGTAAGTTAATCGCATGGTGATGCCTTTCATCTCTGCCCGAGGGAGGTGACTTCTATTGTGAGGTTGATAGTTATCAAGATGACTCGTCGAACGACCGCTGTTGACAGTAAGAGCCCGCTCAGGGTTCACATCCAATGCCGCGAGGGGCTGGCCCAACGAGCTGAGTCGGCGAAGGAGTTCATAGTAGATGCGTAGGGAGGGCTCATGTTGAGCTGGTGTGATGACAGTGTTGTGATCAGGAGGAGTCGGCCGTGCCAGCTTGTGAATGCCGCTCGGAGGTACTTCTGCCTCGCTGGGGTCAAGGGCCGCTTTCCAGCGGGGGACTGGAGACTCACGTGGTTGGAAGGAGCGATGGAGGGACAAGACGTGCCTAAGCGACGGAGCTCGGTAGGCTACTGAGGCGCTGACCAGAACTGGTATGATGCCCAGGTCGGTGACTGTGGGGTGAAGGATGGAGACCAGCTTGCCCTACGCTTTGTCGTGAAGGAAATGTCTCCTACGCCCGAGGCCACTTTGGAGTCTGATCTGGGTGGAGGGGAAGAGCCAGTTATTAAGAAGGCGAGGTTGATTGAGGTTGAACAGAGTGAGGTCATGGCTGATGCGTTCGAGATGCCTGGGGTCTCGCAGGTCAGGCCTCTACGGAGGTGTCAGGGGACGAGGTGCAGCATGAGGGTATCAAGGGCGAGTTGAAGACTGAAGAAGAGGACATTGAGTGTGAGGAAAGGCAGGGGGGCGTCGACAGATGTGAGCTGAATTGATACCATCTCGGGCAGTGTAGGAGTATATGTTCGTTTTTTTCCGGCTGAGCTTGGGAGTGCTCTCACTGATTTACAAACGAATAGGGATAGAAATATACAGAAACCAATGAAAATTTCCCGAAATTTCCTCCCAGAATTTTCAGAGTGTCGTCAACATTTCTGGTTGACCATGTGTATGTTTTCCTGCACTGAGCTTGGGGTGGGCAAATTTGATTGCGGTGTAGGTCCCCCAGAAGGCCCTAGCGCCACTACTGTTGGCGAGCAATACAAAGCCAGGTAAGCTCAGATCGATTATGGTCGGAAATCTCGCCGATCAGGAAAACCCTGGCTACTATTCTGACCGAAGTCGGTTGGATGGACAGCGCAGAGGAGACGCATGTCGCCTCGGGTGGGCGTGCTGGGTCAGGAGCCGGGCTGCCGATCAAGTTGCCCTCTAATACTAGGGTAAACAGCGTGAGAAAATATGAGGTGTTGGGAAAATGGGAAAGTTCTTAGTGGTTGTTGTACACTTCTAACCCAATTCGTATATAAGCTCAGCTGAGGAAAGCGAACATATATTCCTACTCCAACACTGATGGTAAACTAGTAGCGAGCTTATGTTGTCAGGATGAGTACAGAGTGCTCGGAGAAATGCAGCTACTCACCGGCGATGTCGATGGGGCTATTGAGACTTTTGATAAGCTCATTGACCTTGAGGGGCCCGATGGAGTCCGATCACGTCTGTGCTGTGTCGTGGCCCACTGTGGTGGATTGCTGGCTACTCGGTCTGTTCTGGTAAGCCATCTGTATGGTCTTCCCTCGGGGGGAGTTGGAGAAGGGAAAACTTATTTAGTTCTACGGAGTAACAGTTAGTATTACATTATAAGTATTCGAAATCGACGATGTCTTGGCGATACGAGGCGAACCGCTGTTGAGAGAATGCGGAGTGCCTCTCACTATCGTTGTTCAGGCAAGTGATAGGGCGAAAGCTCTAATCGCGGAACTCGGTGCTCGACATGGCCGTCGGTTCGAAAATATCATCGAAGCTGCGCAGAAGGCCGAATCAGAGATTTTCAAGGCGTTGATCGGCAGCCTGCTTGCATCCACTGGAGAGCCTCTGCTCTTACCAGTGGAGCTCGAGGCTCTCTATGTTGCCCTGGGCCGTCCGAGTCGGATGGGCTGGCGGGCAGCGGCTAAGGTGAGGAACGTGATAGTGATAGAGTGTGTTTATTTTTCGATAGAGGATATGCACGTTAATCGTGGATGCGACTGAGAATGGCGTGCCTATTGGAAGGCCCTACGAGGGGGTTCTGAAGTCGTTGCAGAAGGAGCTCGATGAGACTCGGACTTTCAATGAGTTCAAGGAGAAAATGCAGGTGAGGTGCGACGTTATCGAACTGTAGGGAAATTACGCTGTTTCCGAACGCTATTGTTCATCAGGCCTGTGTGTAGTACAGACGCAGGCTTGGTCGCTGCTATCAGGTTCTCCTGTCCGCGCCACCCGGGTGCCCGTCGTCGTTCATGGAGTACTCAGTGGAATGTAGCCGCCGTTGTCGAAGATTGTTTGATAGCTTTTGCGAGGTCTTGGAGCCTCTGTTGTATTGACTATCGAGGCGAGCTTTAATTCGATGCATTTAATCCGCATTTTGGTCGGTGTAGGAGTTAATCGTAGTGAGCTGTCACGTGTGGCCGCCGCCGCTGCGAAAACATGTTGCAGAGAGTTCCTCCACCGAAAGACTTCCGGTGAGTTGAGTTACTGAGTGAGTGGGTAGGTCAACTCTCGTGTTGGATGGGAAGTCTGGTGCCAATCTCGTTACGACTCGTGGGGTCCCTCGAAGAAGTGTCGACAGAACTGAACGTAAAGCTGTCGGAGAAGCTAAGTAATGGCCAAAGCCTCTCTAGTTAGTGATCGCCGTCCTCCTCCGAACGCGTGAGGTAGGAGGGTGTCCAAGTTACCGTTGTCGCCTCAGGTGCGATGATCACAGCCCAAAATGGTCATATGCCTAGGCGAGGAATTCCTGGCAAGCCTTGTCACTGCAGGGCTCGATTCTCACCATATAGGACTACGACATTGCCCTGAGCTTCGGGACCGATCGGCGAGATTTCCGCGGTTGTGAATTCTCCTATTAGCGTGAACACAGAAGGTCACAGCTAGGCTACTTCGGGAAATTGATACCTTGCAGAACAGCGAGTTCATCGAGATGTAGATGCTTACTTCAAGTCGGCTGTGACGGGGGGAATCACCTAGTTGGAAAATTGACATTTTCTTTGGTTTATTTTATAGCCATAATGATTCAGATGTTGCCCAGTACGAGTTCCTATGCCTTGTTCGCTTTCATGACCTCAGAAGGGGTTTTCGCACATTCAACTGACGCCTTATACATGCATAGAATTGATTCATATAATTCGTCGTGATCATGGTGTTGTTGTTTTCGGAGTTGGCGATTCCTCGTGGCGCGCGATAGATCTTGAATGGCTCTGCGACCACCCGCGGCAGGGACTCTACTGCCATCGCAGGCCTTCAGCGTTGAGATTGCTGGCCACAGCGTTTTACACTGGGCCCGGCTACTCTCGGCGAAGCTCAGCGATAAGCCTCTTGAAGTCGGTCATGCTAGGAGCTTCCCTCGGTTGCTGATGATGATGAGAGCCCCTGAGGCTACGGGTGACTTATCGCACCTACCACGGGTGGCGATGGTTGACGACTTGGCGTATTGTCTGCACTCTATGGTGTGGGGGAAGTCACCAAGGCAGGCGAACGGCTACCTTCAAGGCCTCACTGGCTGGTCGAAGCATCCGTTACATCTGAATCTGATAAGGGAGTGTGCATTGGCTACTGGTGACCTCGACAGTGTTATCAAAGTGGACGCTACGGTGAAGACCATCCGTGTTGATCACTCTAAAATAAGGAGACAGACTGTCGTGTGTGAGATGAAGTGCTGGGAGAAAATTCAGAATCTTCGTAATCAGCTCGCTCGAGGAGAATTCGATCAGCTTGTTGAGTGGGAAATCGACAAGTATTTGTCGAGACTATTACGGTCGGGTCAGGTGAGGACTTCGAGGGAGGTATTTAGACTGTGGTTACTACTGGAAGCGGCGGCCGCCACTCGGATGGCCATAAGAGTCCTCTCGAAACGACGTGAGTTCTTCCTTGAAAATGAGGAGAGGCGTCAACGGTGGCCGGCAAGGCAGCTGATAGTCTATGATTTGGAGACTGTTCATGACAGCGACACGGTATTTGGCGATAGAGAAGATCTCAAGTGGTTGGATCGAACCCGGGTCGTTCAGTTCGCTGCACGTAATTATACCACTGGCGAGGAAGTCTTCGTGGAGTGTCGATCGCCCTATGAGTGGTCGACGTTGTCCAGCAGCGCTCAGAAGTTCTGCAGGGCGTCAGGGTCGGGCAAGAGGCCTTTTAATGCCAGTCTGCCTCTATTCCCGAAGGCTTGGAGGGATACTGTGATACCCTTTCTGCAGAGACAGCGTTGCCGAGGTCCATTGGTAATGGCTGCATTCAATGGTAAGCAGTTCGACAACCGAGTGATGAAGCACTATGGTCTACCCGGGTGGCGCCCATTGAGGAAGATCGACCCGTTGATAGCAGCACGACGAGTTGGTCACCCTCATAGTGGCTTTTCGTTGTCGTCACTGTACCGGTATAGAGTAGGAGGGTGGGCACCAGGGGTCCACACTGCCCAAGGGGACGTAGACATGCTTGTGGATCTAATCAGGGAATGGCCGGAGCTTAATGAGGCTGTGATGGAGGACTTCAATAGCGTCGACCGAAGGAGGAGAAGGTCTCGACAACACCTGCGGTACTCCTTTAATTCACAATAGGCATGATGATGATGATGTTGATGACGGTGGTGGGAGTTGTTGCTTCGCTCCGCTGTTTTCATATCTCGCTCGCCTGTGAAATCGATCACGCTTGCGTTGGGGATGTGATTTCCCTCCTTTTGAAGCCCGGCCCAGTTGGTTGTACTTGTCACCGTTAATAAGCACTATGGCGCCTGCTGTGAAGAGAATTGTGAAGAAGAAGACGAATAAGTTCAGACGTCATCAGTCTGACAACTTCATGCGAGTGCCGGTAAGTCACCGAGGAGGGTTTCACTCGGTCGGGTCGACCTCTTTTTTAGGGTAGTGTTGATTTATCTCTTTTTCTCTGTAGGAGTCCTGGAGGAAGCCTAAGGGTATCGACTCCCGTATTCGTCGTCGTTTCCGTGGCACCACTTTGATGCCTAACATCGGTTACGGCTCGGATAAGCGCACCAAGTATCAGCTCTCTAACGGCAAGTACGCCTTCCAGATTAGGGTAGTGTATATGGAGGTGTTGAGTATATTATGAGGTGGTTGTGCTCAGTCTCCTGCTGATATCGAGCTCTTGATGATGCACAATGAGAAGTATGCCGCTGTACTCGCTAGCAACCTCTCTGGTCGCACCCGCAAGGCTATTATCGAGCGCGCCGATCAGATCGGTGTCCAGGTGCTCAACAGGAACGCTAGGATGGCCACTGAGGAGACCAACTAAATCACTATGCCAAGTGATTGTCGTTTCTGGAGGTGATGCTGGTCAACCAACCAACGAGTTACCCTGAAACAAATTATGCGTTGTGTTTTGTGAGTCTAATTTTGGGGGTTCTGTGACGAGTAGTAAAACGCCGCCGCATTAATGTCGGGTACTCCGGTCCTACCATCCTTTCCGGAGTCGGTGGAGAAGGTTGTGGAAGTGCCGCAGAACGCAGTAGGGAAGGCCATTGGTAAAGGAGGAGACTGTATTAAAAGAATAAGACTGGAGACGGGTGCACGTATTGAGGTGATTGGGAGGGCTTCTGGGGTTCAATCGTGGAACAGTTAGTGAAAGAATTTCTCGAGAAGTCGATCGAACGTTATTGATACTCTGTTTGTGTTTGTACTGAAGTTATCCTCAATGGGAGCGGTCTGTTTTAGAGTGTGTCAGCTTTGCATTGACCAGGACGCGCTATGGGAGGTTCTCTGTATCAGTGGTGGAGGAATATATGTTGGCTTTCCTCAGCTGAGCTTGAGAGTTTTTCTCGCGAATTATAGAAGTTTACATAGGAATTCGGGTAGAAATGTACAGAAACCAATGGGAATTTTCCCAAATTTTCTCAGAAATTTTCATATTGTCATCAACCATATGTATATTTTCCCACATTGCTGTGCGCATTAGGTTGACCAGAGTAGCAAAGATCAAGGTTTCAGTCGATTCATCGTCACCGGAGCTCGTGCAGAGCAAGTTGACGTGAGGGAAGCAATAACAATACATAGTAGAAACTATCGTTTATAGAACGCTGTCGAGCAGCTCAACGAGATAATACGCTCGTGCGAGTCATGTGACTTCCTCCGCCCTGGAGATATCGAGCGCCGTGTTTCTCTGCCGGAGGATAAAGTTGGTGATGTGATAGGGCCTCGCGCGTAAGCTGCGTAAGTGGTTAATAGAAGGCGTATATGTGTACGTTAAGGTGTGTACTCGATGAGCTCAAGAGGAGGAGTGGATGTCGAATGGATGTTGTGGTTAAAGTCCCACCTGGCGAGATGAAGTATGCTCGAATTGTTGGACCACCTGAGGCGGTAAGACTCGTTAATTTTGGAGTTCCTGGGGGGGGGCAATTTTTTATACTCTGGCTGCGCGTGTGATGATGTTAGTTTGGGTATATGTGGTTACGGTTGTAATGGTAGTGGGAAAATGGAATTAAATCGATAGAATAATAGGATAAAGTGAAAGAATAAGTTTCGCCAGAATAGACTCTGGAGAAAGTGTGATTTTTTTTGTGAGATTAGTCGAATTTCTGGTTGAGAGAATTTTACGTTTTCCCCCTATCCTCAGTGCACCATCGGCGCTTTCCTGGTTAATGAAGTTATCCAAGGGAATTTCGATGTTGGTGGGGTCATTCGGCAATACTCGGAGAGAACCGGGCAAGTCCTGTTCGATCCGAACCATGATATGCGAAGAAAAGGCGGTGGCGGCTTTTCGGGAGGCAAAGGGAACAACTTCGGCACTCCTGAGAGATACGATGATATGAGCGGAGCGATGAATTTTAGAGGAAAGGGCTTTGGTGGCCGTTTTGATAGTCCTCCACAAGATCAATGGAGTAGACGTCGTGAAAATGAGGGCAGAAATTGGCAAAGTACACTTCCTCCTGCTCCTACTGCTCCACCAGCATCATACGGCTCTTATGGAGTGGAAAAAACAGCTGCTGCTGGTGGTGGTGCTGGTTATGGGTTGATGAATTCCAAGTAGGAAAAATTGGGAAAATCGAAATTTGAATTTCGCGCTGGCGGTCTTTTTGTTTGATACATAGGAAACGCCCAGTTGATCGATTTGTAGTATCTTTTTTTCAGTGCCATAGTGAAGTTCAAGATCCCTACCTTTGCGTATGATAAGGTTATGGGCGTGGATAACGATGTCTTACGTAGGATCAGCCGCGAGACAGCGACACAGATTGTAAGGCGCGCTATTCGTCGTGCATTTGTTTCTAGTATGTGTGCGAATTGGAAACCGACATTCCAAGTAGAAATAATTTTCTCACTATTTTTTACACATTTAGTTGATTTTTTACCATTTTTTCAACATTTTGTCCGTGGTTCTAATAAAATGCAATGAAGGTTAATGAAGTTTCACCCGTGATATGAAAAACATATTTCACAAACCACTGCATAGCACCCCGAATATCGGGTTTTTCACAGAGTATTTTGCCACTCTACGTAAAACGGGTGAAACTCCAATATTATACTCGTTTTTTTTTCAAAAGTTTAGCAGTTTAACTCATCCTAGTATCTGCGCGTGGTCCTTGGCCATCGAATATATTCTCCTCTTTGTTTAGAATGAGCTTTCTGGTAGAGACGAAATAGGACAGGCCATATTGCTTTTGGAAGCTCCTTCGCAGACAGCGGTCGACGTACTACTACTGTATGGCATCCACTTGGTGTTCATGCTCACGTATATAGGCCGCTATTAGAGAGCTAGAGGAAGTCATATTTACCTGTGAGAGGCCAATACCGGGCCCTGAGGAAACACAGGAGTTTCTTCCGATGAATGCGACAGATGCGGCTAAGGTGAGGAGGAGGAGAAGCTGTTGGGAGTGGGGAAAAGAAGAGATTGATTTTCAGATGGAGGGGTATAGGAGTTGTGTGATAGACGACTTGAAAAGAAGGAGTGGTTGTCGAATGGAAATCACATTGGCTCGTCCCGACGCTGATGTTGATGATAACATGCTCACAATAGTTGGCAATGCGGAGCAGGTATGAGGAGAAGGGATGGGCATTCCGAGGTTGAGTTGGTTTTGACGGAATTTTTGATAATTTTTCTCAATTTTTTGCCAACTGTTTTCAATGAATTACTCGGAGTTTTGATGAGTTTTTGGAAAATTTTGATTATTTTTTCCATAATTTCGAGGAAACAGCCGAAGTGATTCTCCACTCTTTTTTACGATACTGAGACTTCCCCCGGGCTCTGCGATTCTGTCCGGCAGGTTAAAGTAGGGATGATGTTGGCCGCTCAAGTGCTGTCGGGCCAAATCGACTGCAGTGCTATTGAGAGGAAGTTCAAGGAGGCTCACGCGGAGGGTGTAGCAAGAGAATCATCATCATCACCACAGGATGGAGTAAGGCTCCTTGTGGGTTGATGATGAGTGATTCTATCTACCTCAGGTCCGCCGCTCGGTGTCGCATCGTGCATCGCCTTATTAAACTGGTCGTCGCTCCTCGCAATGGTATGATGTACGTTTTCTGGTAACGACTAGAGCTTGTTGCGTTACAGAAGTCCGCGGAAATTCCCATTAGTTTTGTTTTTAAACATTTTCTATGTTATCTGTTGCCTCGCCGATCTTGAGGCTGTCGGCCTTGTCATCGGTCGGTACTTTATGGAGGCCTCTGGTCTCTCGGTGCTTGTCTACTGCTTCCTCTCGAACGAGTTATAGTGTTACGACGGAGGGGCACACGCTGACCGAAAAGTACCGGGTCTTCCTGACTGACCCTGCAAAGGGTGTGGTGTCTCCATGGCACGATGTGACAAGTTTGCACGCATGCACAAAGTTGTGTGGAGGATGTTGAGCAGGTGCCATTGTGGTCTCGGGCGAAGGAAGGCGGTTTGTACTGCAATTATGTCGCGGAAATACAACGTGGAATGCGGGCTAAGTTTGAGGTAGTATCATCGGGGAGAAGGTTTGGTAGACTTTGGCCTCAACACGTTAGGAAGATGTATTAAAATGTATCGATTTTATGGTGGAATTATCTCGTCTTGAATGTTCCTATATGTGTATAGGAGTTATTAGGTAGCCACTAAAGAGGTTCATAACCCGATAAGGCAGGACAGAAGGAGTGATGGCAGGTTGCGGTATTACGGCAAGGAACCGAGCTTTAACTACGGGGCGCTACCACAGGTAGAAGGGACAGGTGGTTGATATGTTGAAGTGAAGAATGTGCGTTTTGTCTTCCGGGGTGAACAACTTGTCGCTATCATAGTCTCGAAAGCTTACTTTCATCACATCACATGTTCATATCACTTTTCATATCGATTCTTATTAATCTCGGAAAATAATACATATTACCACACACTACTCGGCTGTTGGCATTAACGTTACAGTCTGACGTTCTCTTCACCTTTTCTCTGGTCGGTCGGATTATCACCATAAACGATCTTAGTAAGGGAATTGGTAATATGATCACACCGCTGTCTCAGACGTGGGAGGATCCATCTGTACAAGATGAGGAGACGAAGCTGTATGGAGATAGAGATCCTCTGGACCTTGTCGAACTTGGGGACAGGCCTATCCCGACAGGTACTGTTGCTGAAGTCAAGGTGATAGGGGTTGCTGATGGGCTTTCGGGGGGAGAATACACTACTGTCTCCTGATTCTTACTGTGTGTCGTGATGATCAATAGTTGTAGATTGGGTTATTAACGGAGGTTCGGGATATCATCAAAAGATCTAACAGGCGCAGGTTCAATACCGGGGGTCGGACACGTGCAAAAAAGTGCCATGAAAATTTTTCCGAAAATCGATTGACGACAGGTTCCATGCAATATAAGAGGGGCTTATATTCAAAATTTTAGCTTTGGAATCGCCCCGTAGGAAAAGTTACCTCTGCACATGTTTTTTCGGTCTCTAGATGGCACGTTGAAAATCGTGGAAGGTTTCACGAAGTAGCGAGGGAGTTCCTGAGCTCAGCTGAGGAATCAAGCATTTTTTTAACACTGAACGGTGCTCAGGTGCTGGGTTGCTTCTGCCTACTTGATCAAGGCGAGGTGGATTGGAAGGTCTTGGCGATCAACACCGATGATGTAGTGTTCGAACGCCTCTCTTACGGTGTGGTTTCGGTCAAATAAGATCCATAAAATCTCGTGTTTTGTTTTTAAAACTCATGTATATTCAACTTTTATATGTGGAGGTATGAGTGCTGCCAAAAAAATGTTCGCTTTCCTCATGTGCGTTCAATATTTTCCTAACTTACCATAGGAGTTTATATACGAATTGGAAAAATTCACGAGGAGTGAACAGAAGCTAACAAGAATTTTCCCAGAGTCTTGATATTGCCACCAACACATGTGCATATTCTACCACACTGAGGGGTATGGGGGAGCGGTGAGTTTGCGTCCTGATGGGCGTCTCCTCTTGCTGGGTAGCGAGAAGGGGTTCGACATGGGCACATGTTTTAAATCATCCGCCTGAGGTGACGATTCTATGGCGTTTTTAGGCGATGAGTGAACGGATTAATTCACTCGACGATTTGGCTCGATACATGCCAGGACGAGCGGAAGAGGTTATGCACTGGTTTCGGACCTATAAGGTATCTTTGATGAGAGAACCTAAGATATTCTTCTGAGTGAGGTTGATATTTAGATGCTGGAGGGCAAGCCTGAAAACGAAATAGGATATGGCGGGCGCCTGTTACCGTTGGAAAAAGCGGAAAAGGTTATTACCAGTGCACATGTAAGTTTCGCGGGCAGTATTGTTATGTATTATTGCAGTATTAAGTATCATAAGTAGTTGTAGTATAGTTAAGTATTGCAGTACTATTAGCAGTATATACATGGCATTATATGTTCGCTTGCCTCCGCCGAGTTTGGAAGTTTCCTCATGAGTTTATATGCAAACTAGGGTAGGAGTGTACAAAAACCGATGAGAATTCACCGCAATTTTCTCAGATTTTTCATATTCTCACCAGCACATGTAGTTGACCACGTCACATAGTATGTGTGCATATTTTCCCCCCACACTGGTGTTTGGATAGAAATGTTATATTGGAATTGTCCCACGATTTTACATTTACCGTTAATATTCTCAGAAACAGTGGGAGAAGCTCATTGTGGAAGTCGGCGCGAAGGAGTATTGGGTGCCGCGTACAAAGAAGTGATTCAAAAATTCGGAGTTCCTATGTTTCTGCTGTCAATCCGATTCAGAGTTCATCACTTTCTTGACTGTCGGGTGTAGTTGTAGGGAGTGGAGACATGGTGACACAATTTGCCATTGTGTCACTAGCTCATTTATGCCAGAACACATAATAGGTTGCCAATAGGCTCGAAACCTGTATGGGGCAGTTGTTCCACTACTCTCTGCTTAGGGTATGTGATCCTCTTACATTACGGACGATCAGCAGGGGACGAACTTGTTCAACGATTGCCACGTTCATTTTTGCAGTGCATGGTGCTGCCTGATACCGTCGATCAGTGTGGTCAACGGTATGTGTTGGTGACGATATGGAAAATTTGAGGAAAATCTCAGAAGAGCCATGTCGATTCTGGAAATTTCTACCCGAATTCTTATCAGGAATCACATACCTAGTGAGAAAACTTGTAAGCTCAGTTGAGGAAAGGGAACATATATTCCTCGAACACTGCGGCCTAGCCTGAATTCATATCGCAGGATGACTCACGTAGTAACCCTTCTGAGCTTACTATAGGCGCATGGATCCTCTATGTGTGGGATCGTGCGGACGAATCCCTTGCTTTGATTGCAGTCAGACACATGGTTCGGTACCGCACTATGAAGAATTCTACTTACCTCGTAGAGGGCGACTTATAGAGAGTAAAAGTAGAGTGTCAGTAGAGTAAAAGCTCTCATCCTTACATAGTTCGGGGAATGATTTTTGCCATGATATTGCAGATGGCGGGTGCATTCACTCTAGTCGATTCATGACTGTTTTTTAACATGAGCTGCAACATCAATGCTGTTGAAATTGGCCAGATCCCTTCTTGCGTCTGTTCACGCTTCGCGTTGGTCTCAAGCAACGCCGGAATTTCACCGCTGCGTTCTGTTGCCGGCCGATGCGCTGTTCGTTGCAGTGCGTGCCACCTCGCAGCTTGACAAGCGCAGTGACTTACATTCCTCCTAGTGAGTTGACCTCAGCCTGTAAGAAGAGTAGTTGTCTCCTCTCACACGTGTAATGTTGGCGACACTTGCGGCACGCTTGGCCGAGGATTTACACTCGTACATCGACGAAAGAATACAGGAGCTTATCAAACTGGCAGAGCAACAGGACAGACTCATCGCGGATCTAGCTCGGAAAGCCAGGCAGGAAAAGATGGAGTCAGCGCAGGTCCGTCATCACTTGTGACAGTCCCTGGTCACTGTGGTGGTCCTCAGAAGACTCTACCGGTTGTGGAGTCGAGTCGATCACAGCAAGCGGCTACTGATGTACGGTTGCCTTCTTACAAGGAGTTCTTAGGTGCGGCGTTTGTGGTAGCGGCATCATTGATGTTCCCTTAGCAATGACTGGCAGCCCCATAGGAGGCGGATCGCCAGCCTACGGTGTAGAGTTAACTCCTCTCCGTCCTTACTCCAAGCGGTGCCGCGACAGTGTTGGTCAAGGCGCAGTCGATGAGAAGTCCGCAGAACACAAGTAGGTCGAATGCAGTATACTGGACCAGTGTTTGGAAATATATGTTTGCTTTTCTGAGCTGAGCTTAAGAGTTGCTCCACTAAGCATAAGAGTTTACATGTGAATTTGGGAAGGAATTTACAGCAGTCAATGAGAATTTCCCGAAATTCCCCTCAGTCTTTCCATATTGTCATCAACATTTTTGCATATTCATGCTGCAATGGACTACCCCCTCTTGTGATAGAGAATCCCACGCCTCGACGTTGAGCCCACACACACCAACACGGCCGCTGATTTTCGATGTTGATGCGGAAGTGGTTGAAGTCGACAGCTCTCCAAGAGACTCTGAGTGAGGATGCAAGGCAACTACTCTACAGTTTTTGGTCAGCATACAACGTCCACCGAAGCGACCCAAGATTCCCACCGAACGCCGAGGGACTCCTACTAGAGCTGTGAGCCGACGAGACTTATCCTCTGTGATGGTTTCGCTCAGCCTCTCAAACCAATCGATGAGCCGAACGTCTCTCCCCCAGAGAGTGTGGTGAACACGCATCGTGCAACAGTGCCTGATCTTACCCGCCCTGAGGAAAGGCCTAATGAGCGTGCAGTGGTGAGAAGCACATCATCTATGGCCGAGAACTGCACTTTTCTCTATATAGGTACGTGGTCGTGAGGCACGCCAACAGCTTGATGGCTTCGCATGCCCACAGTGTACTGCTTTCTATTCAGCAGCCGGGTTCGATCCCAAGGGTAGTCATTTTAACATCGTTTCCGTCATCGACTTGATCAGTAGGTAACCGCTGTACCCATGGTTCGAGTGAAGTAGTGAATGCAGCTAGCCGTCATCGATACTACAAGCCTCCGACGAACACTCCGTCTGGATTCTGGGATATCTGGTCTTTTCCTCCCTCCCCTGAAGGTCGGCAATCCAGTATCGGCAACACTCCTGGGTCATGACTTTAAAACTAAATAGCATGGTTTCCTTTAACAACCAGAATGTTTTGTGTTCAAAGTAACTACTTCTGAACTCTCCTGTGGGAGCCCATTTTAATCGATAAGAACACCCAACTATATATGCTTTACGCACTGATCGGGGATCGAACCTTAGTCCACCGAGCTTGCTAATCGAAGTTGCTATCCATTACACCACTTCATAACGATACTTGCATGTATACTAATAACACAATCCTATTGAAACGATACCAGAAGGAGTGTAGTTATACAGAAAAACTGTGACTTAGTAATATTTGCAGCACTGATTGTTCTTCTTCGCAGTACGGTAGAACTGGTATCTACAGACCAAACGCTTCACGTCGCCATGAAATTCTTGACATATTACGAGGTGTTGCTGAGGTCATTAGACTTCTGCATCAGACTGTCCAAAGTCTCTCCCCTTCGCAATACGTCGTCCATGCCTGCGAGGAAAAGCACATACGGTCTCAAACAGAACCAAACACGAATAGTCACCGAAACCTCCCAAGTAGTACTCTTGATGACGACGCCCTTAACATCGTCCAGCTCCTTCTGAATCTGGGCGATCTTATCAGCCTGGCTTGGATCCTGGAACTTCTCCATAAGTTCATCACCCTCAGGATAGTCAATTCTAAAATCACACGATGACACAAGCGGTGCTCCTTCGTAGAACTACTTGGTATCTTTCCTAACATTCGTCCACTCGACTACTGGATGCTTCGTCTCGAACCCTCGCATCAACTGAAATTAGAACTCCTTATACCAAATCACCATAATCAAGTAAAACGAGAACACCGTGATAAAGAGGAAGCAGAAGGTGGATGACATTTTATACCATCACTAACAGTCAGATTGATAACTACCCCATCCTTATTGGACAGTTAACCCCCAAGTACCTCACTGATGAACGCGAAAGCAACGCGCATAGGATACTCCCCGTCTGTG